TATTTAGAAATAATTAATTCTAGCGCACTCTTTCATTTTATAAATCTAAGTGTCTAAAGGATTCACCCACATTTATCCAGTGGAGTCAAGACCTGACCCAGGACTTCTGGCTCCCATCCAGGGATAATACCATCTTATATTTTATTGCATTATAAATCATATGCATATGTCCAAACAAATTTTATGATTTTACTCACCACTCTGATAGTACTTAGAATCATGCGTCCATCTGAAGCCAGTGCAGAGGCCGAAGTCAGTCAATTTAATATGACCATCACGATCAATCAAAATGTTATCAGGTTTAATATCTCTATGAATAAAACCCATTTTATGAACACTTTCAACTGCACAGGTAAGTTCTGCTATGTAGAATCGTGCCAGATTTTCTGGAAAGATGCCCATTCTAATTAATAGGCTCATCATATCACCCCCAGGAATATAGTCCATTACGAAGTATAAATTGTCCTTGTCTTGGAATGAATAATAAAGACGAACTACCCATTCGTTGTCAGCTTCGGCCAGGATATCTCTCTCAGCTTTAACATGAGCAACTTGATTTCGAAGCAGAACATCTTTCTTTCGAAGAGTTTTTGTTGCATATAAAGCCTTAGTATCTACTTTTCTTGCTAGACAGACTTCACCAAATGCTCCTATTCCTAATGTCTTTATCTTCACAAACATAGACTTGTCCATTTTAGCCCTCTTAAGACGGATGTAATTAGACTCTTTTTGGCAAAGCATCTTTCTCATTTGATCTTGGGCATCTTGAGATAATCCAACCTAGGCAAATAAACTAAATATTAAATGAGGAATTATCTTCTATACTGAATATTAAGAAATCGCTTGGAAAAAATGCAGGCATGTATTTAAAGGTTAAATGCATAATAATTTTTAATAAAGCATGTTAGAAATCTAGAATATACTTCAGAGAAAATTAATTATCAAAAGTGCAGCATAAGAAACAGTTAACAGGATACACAAGGTGAGTGTATATGCAGAGTCTGCTGTAGAGAGCAAGGAGAAGATGATATCAATGTTCAGCTTTCTACTCTTCTCTAATGCACTCAAAAAACACGTTCCCAGTGTGCAATAGCCAAACATGTTAACATGCACCCTCATCTATCTCTCCATGCATATTCATCCCAAACTACATAATTAGATTGCTTTCATTATATGCATCTCTTTGTGGAATACCTATGCCTCAAATAGTCTTCTTTTCATTTCATCCTTCATGAAAAGAAATTCTTCCACTTCAGGTTCATTTATTCTAAAAAACTGATGTATTGAGAACAAAAGAATGTCTTTCCTAACCTCACCACTCATTAACAGTCAGTCTTTCCTTTTACCTTTCTCAGGGCATTAGAGTAAGGGTAGGACTCACAGCCACCACTAATGCAAAATACAAAGGGTACGTCCTACCTTATTTAAAAGGGACAACTTTTTTGATTACAAGGTATCTTTTAGATATTTTGGAATGTTTCAAAGAATAGTCAGTGTGACTTATGAAGATACCAAAAAACAGATAAAAACAAAAACCAACGTCTAAGTAGACATGGAATACCTGGATTCAGAAGGAATGAATAGTTCATTTTTGACTAGTTAATGAAGAATTAACTTAAGAATTTAAACAGAGGGCTTCCCTGGTGGCACAGTGGTTGAGAGTCTGCCTGCCAATGCAGGGGATCCGGGTTCGTGCCCCGGTCCGGGAGGGTCCCACGTGCCGCAGGGCAGCTGGGCCCGTGAGCTATGGCCACTGGGCCGGTGCGTCCAGAGCCTGTGCTCCGCAACGGGAGACGCCACGGCGGTGGGAGGCCCGCGTACAGCAAAAAAAAAAAAAAAAAAAGGAATTTAAATAGAAAAGGAATTTGATTTGAAAAGTAGAGTATAATTCTAGAAATGCAAGACTAATTAAAATATAGCAACCTCATGCTTCTGTTAGGATGCGCGTTTGCATGCAAAATCTTTTAAGGGTGGCATGCCAGACTTAGTACAGAACTATTTCTCTAAAAATCTTACTTGCCTACACAGTAATGGAGGCTACAGAAGTCAGCAAAGCTTCCAACACCATAAAAGTTTAAATCAGCTATTAGTGAAAGTGAAGAGGAAAAAGGAAAAATAAACTAAGAAAATACATACAGACAGACTTTAGTAAGAAATCCTAAGAGCTAAATATGGATAAGTCATACAGGTTATCATGGTATTTCTCACCTCACAAAATTCAATTTATAGCAGGAGTAACTATACTGTGAAATCAGATTTAGAAAAATCATTTTAAAAGAATGGCTCTCTCAAGTTTCATAAGGAAGTTTAACACAAATTTAAGCCTCTTGGCTTTTGAGCACTAGATGTAAGATTAGGAGCCAAACCTTTGAACTGTAAACACAGGATAAAAATAATAATGAGAGTACCACCGTAATATCTAGTGAAGAGATCTACATGGAATCAACAACAGATATTAATCTAAAGTGTTTAATTATTCTGATCTCCTTTTTAGTAGTTTGATTTAATAATTTCAACATATTTTTCTAGTACATTATAAAAATAAAATTAGAAGGGGAAATAACTGAAAGGAGATGTGTCTGACACTTTCTAATAAGACCAATCTGATGAATTAGCCCCCAAGCCCGAAAACTACTGTAAATAAAAATAAATGTTTCATAAGTTTATCAAGAGATGGGATGCAGCTATTTCTAGTTTATTTTAAAATGTAAGATAATGTGTAAACTCTAGAAAAAAACCCTTGCTCCAATTTCCATTAAAGGGATTATGCATACCTAAACTACACACTGTAAACTGTACTTTTCTTAATTTATTACAACTTTATTATAAAAAATTCTGAGTAAATCATGAAATGCTAAAATAAAATGGTATAATCAAAAATACTTAATGTTTACTGACTTTTAAATAATTGATAATATATTTAGGATAAAAAAAGAAAAATACTGGACCACAGTATTTTAAAATAAACAAGCAAATACATAATCAAGTATAAAAATGGACATTTTAAAAGGTTTTATACTCAGCCGTAAAAAAAGAATGAAATAATGCCATTTGCAGCAACATGGATGGACCTAGAGATTGTCACACTGAGTGAAGTCAGACAAAGACAAATATCATATGATATCGCTTATATGTGGAATATAAAAAAATGGTACAAATGGACTTATTTACAAAACAGAAATAGAGTCACAGATGTAGAAAACAAACTGATGGTTACCAGGCGGGTAACGAGGGGGGAGGGATAAATTAGGAGATTGGGATTGACATATACACACTACTATATATTAAACAGATAACTAATAAGGACCTACTGTACAGCACAGAACTCTACTCAGTATTCTGTAATGGCCTATATGGGAAAAGAATCTAAAAAAGAGTGGATATATGTATATGTATAACTGAATCACTTTGCTGTACACCTGAAACTAACACAACATTGTAAATCAACTATACTCCAATAAAAATAAAATATTTTTAAAAAGAGGTTTTACCCGCATCATTTCGTTCTCTAATTGTTTTTTACGATGTAGACGCTGCTGATGAGATTTGAGTACATTTTCTACATGTTGCTCCATAAAGAATTTAAATGCCTGAGGAGAATAACTTTGGATACGAGATTCCCTTCGCTCTTCATCTTTCTTGTTTTTCCTAACGGTGATAGGTGAAGTGGTAATCTGTTTCTTTTCTTTATCTCCATTATCAACATTTTCATAACTTTTCTCACTCTCATCTTCCTTGGGCAAGCTCGGCTGTTCCTCTTTGCTAGATTTATTGACTGATTCATATGGAGGAACAGATGGGTTTTGGTGTAGCAGATGTTTGGGGTAAGGTGGTGGTGGACCTTGATAGTTTGGAGCTTCAGCAACAGGCGGCATAACGGTCATATTTGAAGTGGTACCCTCAGAAAAAGGACCAGGTTGAACAGTTTGAATTGGCTGTGGTATCCAAGAAGGGTGTGTAGGTGCTAAAGCAGTCTGCAGCTCTGGTTTCAATACACGTATACTTTTCACAGGCTGTTGAATGGGAGCTGGTGTAATAGCAGTGACTGTTGTAGCCGAAGGCTGCGAATTAGCAGAATGACTTGTTCTATTTCCTAATGGGTTATTAAAAGAATTTGACCTCACTGGTATGTTAGGTTGCCATGTAGGGATTTCATGTCCACTGCTCGGGGATGACTGGGCAGGAGCAGAAGATGACTGAGGCCAAGTTGTTTGCAGTCCAGGTACATTAATGTTATAAAGTTCCATGTTATGACTATTTCTGTTTGGCACCATCATAGACTGAGGAATATTCCCATTTGTGTATGATGAAGGAGCAGCAGATCCTCCTGTCTGTAAAGCAGAAGGGCTTTGTCCATTAGCTGGGGTCAGAGGGTATGGAGGCGGTGGCTGCCGATTCACAGCACCAGCAGGGACAACATTTTGGTGTATCATAAAATCAGTCTGGCCACTACCATTCTGAATTCCAGGTCTCCCTGGTGGAAAGTTAAATTTGTTAGCACTCTGCATGATGATTGGTTGCCTGCCAACAGGAACAGAATTAATGCCTCTCTGTCCCTGATTAGGAGGATTCATTGGGGACGTGTTAAGAGGTGGTGGAGGATAGCCCTCCTGCCAGGCTCCAGGTGGAACAGGAGAGATGCGGGAGATTACGTATTCCATGTTCCCAGAATAGCGCTTTGTTTGAGTGTTTGGTTCCCATGATGGGGGAGGTGGAGTTGTACCTCTTGGCGGGGGAGTCTGGCCTCTTGGAGGTGGTGGAGGAGTGACACTCCTGACTTGAGGAGGTGGGGGGGGGTTCACTCTCTGTCCGTTGCTAGGGTGAGCTTGAGTAAATGCTGTTATACCAGATCCTGACAAAGGTCTTCCTACATCTGTCTGTGAGTTGGGACTTTCAGAACGATAGGCCACACTTTCTCCTAGTGGTGGGCCATGTCTCTGAGGAACTAAGGATTCTTTAGAACCTTTCCAGCTTTGTTTGCGGTTAACTGATTGTTGCACACTCCCTATGGGAATAAAACAAAAACAAACAAACAAAAAACATGTTTTTTTAACCTCTTACTTTCGAAAAATTTAGCTTGGAATTCTAACACTACTAAATGATAATTCTCTTTCAAGAATCACAAAAATCAAATTTGAGTATGTGCTTTTATTTTACCTTTTAAATTTTTATTTATTTTTGACTAGGTAACACATTCTCATAGCTCAAAATTCAAGTGGTACAAAAGGACACCCACACCGTCCCTTGGGCAACCAATGTCACTGAAGGTAACCAATGTCATCAGTAAGATATTTTAGGAATACACAGGTAAACAGTACTAGAAAAGGGAAAGGGAACCCTCCTACGCTGTTGGTGGGAATGTAAATTGGTGCAGCCACTGTGGAGAACAGTATGGAGGTTCATCAAAAAAACTAAAAATAGAGTTGCCATATGATCCAGCAATCCCACTCCTGGGCATATATCTAGACAAAACTATAATTTGAAAAGATACATGCACCCCTATGTTCATAGCAGCACTATTTACAATAGCCAAGACATGGAAACAACCTAAATGTCCACTGATAGATGAATGGATAAAGAAGATGTGGTATATATATATTTTATATATATATATATAATATACACACACACAGACACACACACACACACAATGGAATATTACTCAGCCATAAAGAAGAATGAAATAATGCCATTTGTAGCTACATGGATGCAACCAGAGATTATCATACTAAGTGAAGTAAGTCAGAAAAAGAAAGATAAATACCATATGATATCAGTTATACGTGGAACCTAAAATATGACACAAATGAACTTACCTAAAAAACAGAAACAGATCAGACATAAAGAACAGATTTGTGGTTGCCAAGGGTGGGTGGGTGGGGGGAGGCGGGGAAGGGTTGGATTGGGAGGTTGGGATGAGCAGATGCAAACTATTATATACAGAATGGATAAAAAACAAGGTCCTACTGTAGAGCACAGGGAACTTATATTCAATATCCTGTAATAAACCATAATGGAAAAGAATATGTATATGCATAACTGTATCACTTTGTTGTACATCAGAAACTAACACTGTAGATCAACTACACTTAAATTAAAAAAAAAAGTATACCTCCTATATATAGTATTGTGCCTGGGTCTTTTCATTAAAAAAATGGAAGATTCTGTAGTAGTACATAAAGTGTTTCTTTACCTTTAAAAAATGTTATTACAGTTTTTCGCTGTATGGCTGTACCCAAATTTACTTAATCAGTTTCCCTACTGATGGCTGTTAAGGTTGTTTCCAGTCTTTTGTTTTACCCCTCCCCCACAAAAAGCAATGAAGAATTTTGTACAGATACCATTTCATATATATGTTAAGTAGACAAATTATTAGAAATGGCATTATTGAGCCAAAGGATGTGTCCATTTGTAATTTTGATAGATATAACACTAATTTTAAATACATTTCAGTATGGCTTTTAAAACAAAAAAGGCAGTAGGGGATAATTAGCTGAACACTAAATAAGGCAGAGATTTTACAAAGTCTCTATTTAATGGAATTTCCAAATAAATTAAACAGGCAAGAAAACATACGATACCAAAAAAAAAACCGAAGTATTTAAAATAATCTGGTCACTAAGTATAATACATTTAAAATATATATAAAAAGAATAAAATAAAATAAAATATATATATAAAACACATTTGTGTAAGATATGATACATATAAATAATACATTCCAGAAGGATTAAACATTTAAATGTTAAAGATGAAACCAGGGCTTCCCTGGTGGCGCAGTGGTTGAGAGTCCGCCTGCCGATGCAGGGGACATGGGTTCGTGCCCCAGTCCAGGAAGATCCCACTTGCCGCAGAGCGACTAGGCCCGTGAGCCATGGCCACTGAGCCTGCGCGTCCGGAGCCTGTGCACCGCAACGGGAAAGGCCAAAACAGAGGCCCGCGTACCGCAAAAAAATAAAATAAAAAAAGATGAAACCATACAAGTACTAGGAGAAAACCAGTGAACATTCGATAATATTGGGGTACCTCTTTGTACCTCCTGGGAAGGTCTTCCCAAGTATGACAAAGGTAGAGAACATACAATAATAGACTGATAGATTTAAATACATAAAACACTTAGTACCATTCAAAACAAAACAAGAAACACCCACAAATTTGAAGGGTCAACATCATCCTGGGAGAAAATACATTTAATAACACATTAAAAAAAACCTGGTAAATATTCAGAATGTACAGTTTAACATTCTATTTCATCTAGGCTGGGCAGCATCTTGGGTTTATGAGTTCAGGGAAAGTCATCACTCTGGGCAAGCTAGACAAGTCCTCTGACCACAGGCTCAGTCTCACCTTCCTCGGGTAGTCAGCTGAGGCCAAATGCACCAAGTCACTCTCCCAGCTTTTACCAGGTAAGACGAAATCTCTGCAACCCTCAAGTACACTGTCATCCCTACAGCTCTGCACCTCCCATAAAGTTCTCTGTGTTCTTCCACTTCCTAAACCCTCCCACTGTTGCCCTCTAGACACGCTCTGTTCTATAACCAGCAAATGGCCCTCGATCACTAACCTCTGCTCCAAGCTTTCCCCCCACGTCCTTAAAGCTGGTTATCGTCTGCTGACATTACTTTCCTTTCAGTCCTTTGCAATCAAGGTTTTCTTCAAAAATAAACTGGGCTAAAAGGTGGAACTCCACTTCTTTGCTCTCCATTTATGCTTCTAGATCATTGTTATTTCTGCAAAATCTTTTTAAAAAGCCAGTTCTTTGGAAGCTCATGCTATCTGTGGGAGGCCACATTCATTCCTCTACTGGTCACCCAGTGAACACCTACTTGCTCGCCCTCATTCACCCGTAACTCTGGCATTCTACCCTAAGCCCTGACAACATTCTATAACTTCAACATCCACATGGACGAACCATCCATCACCCTGGTTCCGGGTTCAATCCCTGGTCAGGGAACTAGGATCCCACAAGCTGTGCAGCGTGGCAAAAAAAAAAAAAAGAAGCGAAAACTGGGTAAGAATTTTGAAGTACCAAGTTAGAATCTTGAACAAGTTCTGCAAAATAATGGGACATCCTCACTTGGATAACTCAATGAACCTAACTAAACCTTATGTCTAAAACCAGACTTATGATCTTTCTCCACCAAATCCTGTCCTCCTTTAGCGTTCCCTTTCATAATGTGAGGTAATCACCATCCATTTTTATACACCAAAAGCCTAAGAGTCATCCCACTCCATTATCACCCACCATACGCAATCTATCGCCATGTCCTTGTCAATTTTACTCCTCCTATCTCTTTCTTATTTCATTCAATTTTCTCCACCACCATCTCCCTAGTCCAAATTACCTTCATTTCCTGTGAATTGTATTTCTTATCAAGTCTATCCAGACACCCTCCTTTGCTCTCTCTAATCCGTTCTCATCCATTGCAGCTATCTTTCTGAAACACAAAGTTAATCATGTTATTACCCTGCTTGAAATGTTTCCATAACTTCCTGCTGCTCTTAGGATAAAATCAATAGACAGTCCTGCATAGTCAGGCCCCTACGCACTTCTCCATTCATATCTTATACTCCTGTTTTCAGCATTCTAGCCACTTTCATTTCTTCGAATGTGATATCAAAACCTGCCAAACAAGCCATGCATGGGAACACTCCTCCTCATGAAACCCATCACCATTAACCCTTGTCTTTCTTCAGATATCAGCTCTAGTATCAGTTTCACAGGAAGGTTTTCTCTCATCTCCTTGATCAGGTGAAAAATCCCTCTATTATATAAGTCCATAGTACCACATAACTGTCCCCTCTTCATTCATACTTACATAGTTGTAATTCTACATGTATTTGTGTATTTGAGCTCCCTTACTAGAATCTCAACTCCATGAAAGGGCAAGAACTTTATATCCAATGCCAAGCAAAGGGCCTGAAATAGTGGTTGATCAAGAAAAATTTGCTGAAAGAATGAAAAAATTAGGCCTCTTATAAATCAATTTAAAAAGACAAATACAAGATTAGGAAAGAATTAAAATGTCAGTTTAAAAATAATCAATAAACAAATGTTTAAGCTCACCAGTGATCAAAGAAATGTGAATGTAAAATGATAGTATTTTCATAACCATTAAATATACACAAAGGATAATACCTAGGATTTACAAATACAGGCATTCTTATATTAAACTGACTGGGACAAAACAAGTTGGCAACACCTTTCTGGTCAGCGATACAGGCATACCTCGGACGGAGATGGGTGCGGGTTCGGTGCAGTTCGGTGACTATTACAATAAAGTAAGTCATGTGAACTTTTTGGCTTCTCAGTGCATATAAAAGTTATGTTTATACTTTATATATATATATATGTATATATGCACATATATATACTACAGTCTAATAAGTGGGCAATAGCATTATATCTAAAAAACAATGTACATATCTTATTAAAAAATACTTTATTGCTAAAAAAATGCTAACCATCATCTGAGCCTTCAGCAAGTCATAATCTTCACTGGTGGAGGGTTTGAAATATTTTGATAATTATCAAAATATGACACAGAGACATGAAGTGAGCAAATGCTGTTTGAAAAATGGTACCGACAGGGCTTCCCTGGTGGCGCAGTGGTTGAGTCTGCCTGCTCATGCAGGGGACGCGGGTTCGTGCCCCGGTCCAGGAAGATCCCACATGCTGTGGAGCGGCTAGGCCTGTGTGCCACGGCCGCTGAGCCTGTGCGTGTGGAGCCTGTGCTCCACAACGGGAGAGGCCACAACAGTGAGAGGCCCGCGCACCCCCAAAAAAAAAAAAAAAAAAAAAAAAAAGAAAAAGAAAAATGGCACCGACAGACTTGCTTGATGCAGGATTGCCACAAACCTTCAATTTGTAAGAACTGAAATGTCTGCGAAGTGCAATAAAGTGAAGCAAAATAATATGAGGTATGCCTATGAGAAAAACTTTTTGCAAGTCTTTGAAAATTTACTTTTACCAAATCATCAGGAATGTACAAAGATTTAGGTATAAGGGAATTTACTGCAGTGCTGTCTATAATGGCAAAAAAAAAAAGGAAACAAGGCAAATGTCAAAAAATGAGACTGGTTAAATAACATATGTGATAAGTCTACCTTACTGTAGCTAGGTATTCTGTAGGCCATTTAATAACAAGGAAAGTTATATATGGTATACTAAATGAATAAAGTAGGTTTTAGTATGACCCCGTTTTTTGCTTAAACAATAAGAATCAAAATACACACATATAAACCCACTCCAGTTTTTGACTGAGAAACAAAACATACCAAAATCTTGTGGGTATTAATAGCGGTGTTTTCGCTTATTTACTTTCTAAATATTCTATGATGAACATGTTTTACAATAAGATTATATACATAAAAAAGGAATAGTCTGAATTATATTTATGGTTAAAAAGAAAAATATTTCAGTTGCATTATAAGCAATCAAGCAGTTCTCAACCTAGACTGCTGCTTATCAGAATTACCTATGGAACTTTAGGGTCCCATCTGCAAATTCATTTTGGTGTAACACTGTAATGTTATTCTTCTAGCTTGAGGCTTTCACTTACCGTAATGCTTTTAACAATTTCTAAGACAAAACACTTTATATACTTAAATATTTTTAAGTATTATAAAATAAGAGACTAGAAAAAATTTGATTAATCACCTGGCTTTAAGTTGGCATTAATAGGTCTGGCAGCTGCTGCAGCCATCTGTTCCCGTCGAGGATCTTGGTAACTCATTTTACTAATGAATTCAATTGCAGCTTCTATACTTCTGTTATTAGTTTTCTGAAGAGCTTGTATAACCATATCCTGGTATGAAGTTATAAAAACAGAAATTAAATTTAAATCTTATAATTAGTAAGAAGGAAACAACACTATAACTTCCACTGGAGAAATTCATAATTTTGAAGAACGAGGCCCCAAGCCAAAATTTAATGTCCTGTTTGTAAAACTACTTTGTGGGGAGGGACAAGATAAGGGTAGGGGATTAAGAGGTACAAACTACCATGTATAAAATAAATAAGCTACAAGGATATACTGTACAGCACAGTAAAACTATAAAAATCCATACAATCTCAAATTACTAAAGAAAACAAACCCTCAAACTCTTCAAATGTTTCTTTAATATTTTCACCTTTATGTAATGTATTACTGTTTTCTTCTAGGGTTTTTTCCCAGATACAATCATAACAACATGCTTCTGAATTTCTCATTCTTAATTTCATTCTTATATAAATATCAAATTGTTAAAAAGGCATCAAACAACATAGTGGAAACCACTCTTTCCTACTGTTAAAGTATTTTATTAAGCATCTTTATCATTGTGTTTACTAGTAAAAGAGCTATGTAGTTCTGGTTCCTACCTTCTTAGAGTTTACATCTTCACAGAATTTTATTTATGAGGACACAAATATAGGACAAATGGTAGAGGAAAAACACTCAGACTTTATATGACTTGATGAAGACTTCAGGAGGCTACATGGTATGAAAGAAAAAACAGGGAGTTTGGAATCAAATGGAACCAAAGAGTTTGAGTTCCAGTAGCCCTGCATTACTATGCTTTGTCTGTCATGCTTAGAAGCAAAAATACACTCCAGTGATTGGAGATTTATGTGCCCCACTTTAGAACTGTGTGAACTCTGGTAACTTATTTAACATTTCAGAGCTCAGTTTCTTCATCTGTAATACACTTAGAGTTGATGTGAGGATTAAACAAGAAAACATGTAAAAGCACGGTGCCTGGAGCTCAGATATGGGTTGTCCTCCTGCTCTGTTCCATGTCCTTTATTTTATATGTAAACATAAATTATACACTAAGATGCAAAAAGTATACTGATACACATTTTTCAAGAGGGAGGCACCTACTTACTTGTCCTAGAGGATTTAGTATTTCAAACAATATTTTTAAATGAGAAATGGCTTTATAAGACTAACGCGTGACCAGGCTATTGATAGATGATCCTCTTACTCAAAATGACTGGAGATGATTGAGGCCAAGCAAAAAAAGCTGCGGCAGAGACTTGTTGCCTACTCAAGACCTAGTCTCCATTTTTCAGAAAAAGTTACTAGGATTTTTTGAAACAAGTTTTCCTTATAGCTACAGCGGCCACATGAAAATTCTGACCAATGAGACAAAAACCAAGGATTTCTGGAAGAATATTGCTATCCCTGATTTAGGTGCTGGTCCCTCCTGTACCCTGTTTCCTAGACAACAGATATGACACCTGTGCTACAGCATGTTGTCACCAAGAAGGAAAATTCAAGAGATTCATTAAGAGTTGTAGTTTGATATTTTTAAGAGACTGAACCGATACTAGCTATATAAACTGAGTCACTATTTTGTTTAAAGCATTATTATTTGGATTTTTATTAAAAGCAACCAAACTCAATCCTTAACTGATAAAAAGGTACAGTGTGGTCACATTTTATGCCCATCAGACTTTGCAAATTTGTAGTGAGATACAAAGGATTAGTAAGTCTCACTTTATGTGCAAATTTAAAATAATACAAATCATCCAAATTAAAATTCACCAGGGAGTGCTTAACTTTAAAAGTGGTTACACCAAGTGAACTGTAACTGTATTTATGCTAATATCACATGGCAGCGCTATCTCAGTTGGTAAGAAAACTGACACCCACCATTCTTTTTCAACATTGTAGGAACCATATCTAAATGCACTAGAATTTCAGCCTGTGATTTTGGTGGTGATTATGCTGGCTTTGATATTTTAATTTTATTGCTATATGTTAAAATATTTTTTACACCGGTAGCAATATCAACCAAGTGTTCCTTAAGTGGGGGTCTTAGTGCCAGGGTGAAAAAGAGCACCCTTAAATCAGTAACTTTGGAATAGAAATCTTATGTGCTAAGAAAACATTATGTCCCCATTAGTATGCTTTTGTTCTTCAGGCTTAGAAACAAAAATACACTCCAGTGATTATAGCTTTATGTGCCCCAAGAATGCATCAATCCTTAATTTTTAACATTTATTCCTACGAGGAAATTAATCTTGAAATATTTAAGGTTTTAATTTTATAGAGCACCAGAAACATTCTCAAAAAATTGCAACCGGGCTTCCCTGGTGGCGCAGTGGTTGAGAGTCCGCCTGCCGATGCAGGGGACATGGGTTCGTGCCCTGGTCTGGGAGGATCCCACATGCCGCAGAGCGGCTGGGCCCCTGAGCCATGGCCGCTGAGCCTGCGCATCCGGAGCCTGTGCTCCGCAGCGGGAGAGGCCACAACAGTGAGAGGCCCGCGTACTGCAAAAAAAAAAAAAAAAAAAAATTGCAACTGCCTTGAACTTGGCATACTTAAAGGAATAGATTAGAGTTTATGAAATGATAAAAATAACGAAGTGAAAGGAATTCCCTGGTGGTCCAGTGGTTAGGACTGTGTGCTTCCACTGCCGAGGGCCCAGGTTCAATCCCTGGTCAGGGAACTAAGATCCCATAAGCTGCGTGGTGCGGCAAAAAAAAAAAAAAAAAAAGAAAGCGAAAACTAGATAAGAATTTTGAAGTATCAAGTTAGGATCTTGAACAAATTCTGCAACATAATGGGAAGCTACCAGAATGAGTGATTCAGGAGGCAGAAGAAGTAAAATTGCCATATTCTTTATATCACTGTGAGTATATATAATACCATTCCTTCGTTATTTGGATAAATGAGGATTGATAAATGTCTAAATGCTTTTAGTAAAGCAACCTTGCTTAAGGGGCTATTAATGTCATAAGGTAAACAATTTTGAAATGTGTGACTGCAGTAAAGCTAACATATCTTTGTAATGCAAAGCAATTATTATTATTGCCAACAAATAAAGAACAGGGCACTGACCAATGCCTTACATTTCTTAAAACTGTCTACGTTAGAAAAAATGTTTAAGTTCCTTAAAGGTACAGACCATCTTTGGTATGATTCCCTATCCTGATTGATGGGTTCACACACAGTAAGAGCTCCATAAATACATATTTACTGATGTGATTTATCTGACATACACATTACCACTTAAGGGCCTTTACAGCCATGTGATTTTCTAAACTCCCTTTCCCTAGCAATATGTAAGAGGAAAGAATAAGACCAATGATTCAGCCTTCTCTTTATTCTTTGCCTTTTGGCTAAAGGATTAGGAAGAAAGTACTCTAAGAGACTCTCCATTCAAGCCATTTCCTTAATCCTCCAACTACTAACCAGGAAAACACCCCAGGATCTCCTCTCCTCCCCAACCCCCATATATTTTCTGGTGCAAATCCAATATATTTAGAACACTTAAATATAAAATTAATAGGAAATAATATTAACCAAGTGAAGAGAATGGGCCAGAAAGAATCTTTATTTCTTCCTAGTTTAGTAATAAATTTCCCTTTTCAAATCCTTTACTATAATGCATACTTACGTTCTCATTTTTTAAATTAAATACAGAGATATCTGAAAACGTGGTCACTAAAATATTAACAAGGTGAAGGAATTTTAAGGGTAGTTATTTTTGTGTAGTGGAGCTAATTTTTAGTTTCTTCCTTATATGGTTTAATTTTTAACAGGGAACAGATATTACTTTTATAATCAGGAAAAAAGTTACTATCATTTTGAAAGAAAATGTAATCAATGCTTGATTATTCACATTTAGTTACAATTTCCATGGCCAATTTTTACCTAAAATGATTCCTGCTATCTAAAATATTCATCTAAACTATGTAATCATGGAAAATAAATTTTATTAGTAACCTAAACAAAATGGGTATGATTAAATAATAAACAGACTATGAAAACTTTCAAAATGAGTTCTAAAAGTAAATATTAAAGACTTAGCATAATTGACATGAACTGAAATTTCACCAAAAAAACTTGAAATTCTTGGAGACTGATCAACAAGTAAATTTTTAGTTTTTGTGAAGTTAAGCTTTGAGTCTGAGAGGTCTGTGAGCATTAAGTGCTGAATGATGTCTCTGGCCCCTTTTCCTTCTCTGAAGTATAAGCTTAAACTTCATACCCTTAGGGCCCTCATTTCTAAACCAGCCACTGGGCTCACCCTCACCAGGGAAACTACCGCACACAGACAGATGTCCTTGCCCTGCCCTCACTTGTGGCTTTCCTCACCTGCACTTCCACTCTGACTTCATGACTTGACCTTTTAATCTCAGAACCACAGAGAAAGCTAAAGAAATAATAATTATTTTGTTTTAATAATTAATGAAATTGTAAACAACATTCTTTGCTGATAGAATATACAAATTTCTATACATAGTTAAATTCTCTCAAAGGAAACATCTGGGCAGGAGGTCACCTAAAAAGTGTTATGTAGTGTAAGGTAAGAAAAACCCTTTCTTTTGTTTTTAAAAATTCTTACCTCATCAAATCCAGCAGCTTGCAAGTCTTGAAGCATTTGTGGATTAACTTCTGAAGTACTCCGACTTGTTTCATTTGCAAATGGTTGTAGAGAGTTTCGAATTTCCAGCAAGGCTTTATGATGCATCCCAAACTTGGGTGGATTTCTGACTTGTCGCGGGTCTTCAGCTGACATTTTACTCAAGTTATGCTCAGCCTTAGCAGCATCGGATGGTTTGGATAAATTCCTAAGGGATTCCCGAATTTCTTGCAGCATTTGTCGGCTGCTGCCAGTATAGTTACTGGCAGGAAAGGTCTTAGGCCTCATTTGCCTATATCCTTCTGGCTTTTCACTCCTCTTCATGAAAACATCTATATATATAACTCACACAAAAGACTTCTTTAAGAGCTACTTGATAGATTCAGAGCTTTCCTTTGAGCAAAACTGAAAAAGATCCTTTGTAGAAGTCCCCAGGAATGTTAAAATTTTTATGACCTAAATAAAACAAACAAACAAACAAAGCTATAAAGTGACTGATAAAGCAGTACCATGTATAGTAGTCAGGCACCCCCTTAATCGTGGGGTATACCTTCTAAGACCACCAGTGGATGCCTGAAACCTCGGATAGTACCCATCCCTATATATACAGTAGACCCCTGAACAACATGGATTTGAACTGCATGGGTCTATTTATATGTGGACTTTTTTCAACCAATAGTTGAAAAGACGGTATGACGCGACCTGGAGGTTGGTTGAACCTGAGGATGCAGAACAGAAGGCTGACTGTAAAGTTATCTCCGCCAGTTTTCGACTGCACAGAGGACTGGCACTCCAACCCCCAAGTTGTTCTAGGGTCAACTGTACTATGTTTTTTCCTTTACATACATATTTATCATAAAGTTTAATTTATAATTAGGCACAGTAAAAGATTAGCAACTAACTAATAATAAAATAGAACAATTATGGGAATTTGCTGGCAGTACAGTGGTTAGAACTCTATACTCTCACTGCCAAGGGCCCAGAGTTCAATCCCTGGTCAGGGAACTAAGATCCCACAAGCCTTGTGGCCAAAAGAAGAAGAAAAAAAGAACAATTATAACCACATACTGTAATACAAGTTATGTTAACATAATTTCTCTCTCAAAATATCTTACTGTATAAATGAAATGCCTTTTCCATCTTAACTAAGCACTTATCATATACTGTGGCCATAACCTTTACAGTTTGAGGTGTGACAGCAAAACTAGCACAAATTTCTTTTTCCTTCTACACAATTTCATGTATAGAAGATTCGTTCTTACCGTAGATCTTAAAACCTTGGCACACTATTTTTTTTTCTTATTAAATCAAGAACTTTCACCCTTTCACTTTAAGGAAGCACTTTACGGCGTATCCGAATTGCCAGCATCACTACTCTTGCGCCTTAGGGCCATTATTAAGTAAAACATGAGCTGCTTGAACACAAGCACTGCGATATCATGACAGTCATTCTGATAACCCAGGCGGCTGCTGAGTGATTAATGAGAGGGATACACTGGACAAAGGGATGATTTACTTCCTCGGTGGGATGGAGCCAGATGGCATAAGATTTCATCCATGCTACTCAGAATGATACACAACTTAAAACTTATGAATTATTTCTGGAATTTTCCATTTAATATTTTCAGACCACAAGTGACCATGGGTAACTGAAACCTTGGAAGGCAAAACCACGGATAAGGGAAGACTACTGTATTAGGGGGGAAAAAAACCCCACTGATTTGTAAGTTAAAAGACCTAGGTTACAGTTCTGGCTCCACTAAGGATTACAGTATAGTCAGGACATGTTAGTTGTGCCTATTTCCTAATCTACAAAATTACCTCAAGTACTGGTTATGACGATAAAAAATAATTTCAAGAGTGCTTTAGTAAGCATGTAAAGTACAGCTGACCCTTGAACAACACAGGGGTTTGGGGCACCAACCCACCACACAGTGGAAAATCTGGGTGTAACTTATAATCGGTCCTCTGTACCCTCAGTTCCAAGTCCGTGGATCCTGCAGTACAGTAGTATTTACTATTCAAAAATCCACGTATAAGTGGACCCGCACAGTTCAAACCCACGATGTTCAAGGGTCAACCGTATATACAAATGCAAAGGATTTCTAGTGAACAATACAATGGGCAACCTCCCATTAAATTCATCTAGTGGCTACAACTTTAGGTTTTACTACCAGACTTCAAGTATACAATTGCTTTAAAAGAAAGGGAACTGCCGCTTTAAAAAGGTTTTTAAATCACTAGTCTGGAAGATACCTTTATGCTTCAAAAACAGATGCTTGGATTTATTTCTCAAACTGTGGACTGGGACTCTAGAGACAGTAAGCTTATTAACAACAGGGTGAGGAAAGGACCTCTAAGGACTTGTCTAATTCCTTACTTAATGCATGAATGGCTTCTACAATGCACTGGAGCAACAGTCACCTAAAATCTACTTAAATATCCCCACTGATAGGGAAATCACTAACTCAAGAAAGCCATTCCATTTGCGATCTGCAACAACTGTTAGAAATGTTCTATGTGGATCCAACACCATGAAATCTCACTCAGTGCATATTCAGAGCCTATTACAGGCTGATGTTAAACAACTCTGTCTGCATTCTTACCAACCATCATGTAATGTGAGTGGTGATTACACTTAATGAGACTAGAAATAGGTGATAATTAGCAATGTTTCATATCCCCATGGTTCCAGTTATAAACTGTTTCACCCAAACTCTCTGAACCTCAGTTTTCTCATCTACAAAGTAGAGGCAATAAACCTGTGTTACCTCTTCAAAAACCCTTTCCCCGGTTACCTAATTACTCCGTTTTATTTTCTTGTTAATACTCACCACTATCTAAAATTATCTTACTTGTTTACTTGTTGTCAACCTCCCCTCACTGAAATAAAAGCTCCATAAAAGTACAGGACCTTATCTGTCTCATAAACACTGTCTACCACCTATATCAGAGCCTGGCACGTACTGAGTGCTCGATAAATATACATGTTAAACAAATGAAATGAACATGTCTCCTAAACATCCCAGTTCCTTTAACTGTTCTCCAATTCTTGTCATTCTTGTCATTCTTTTCTGGATACACTCTAATTTGTAAAAATCCTACTGGTGTGAGAAAAGCACAGCACTTGTAATGAAAAAACAAACAAACAAAAATATTCAAGTATTTGTTCTGTTAATTATTAGCAATGTGAACTTTGGCATTTAATTCTCTCAAAAATTGCCTCCTGAGGCATAAAATGGTTAGAGTAAGAAGGTTTACCTTATGGCTTGAACAAGGATTAAGAGGAACAACCCAATACAACTAAAGGAATATACACACAAATGTTTAAAAATGTAGAATGCTCCTGGCAATACCATCTATAAGAGCAAATATAGATGTCATCAATCTAGATGCTCATCAGTAATTGTTTGAGTATTTATAGTACATCTATATAACGTGATGAAGCAGATATTAAAAAGAATGATGCAGTTCATGAACAGATACCCATAATATTCTTTAATATTCTTAAGCAAAAAAAGCAAATTTCAAAACACTTTGTATAAAATAAAAGCCAATTTCTATTCTAAAATTAGACTACTGTGATGGAGAACCTAATATATAGCAAAGGGAACTCTACTCAATGCTCTGTGGTGACCTAAATGGAAAGGAAATCTAAAGAAGAGTGGATATGTGTATACATATCACTGATTCACTTGGCTGTACAGAAACTAACACAAATGTTGTAAAGCAACTATACTCCAATAAAAATTAAAAAAAAAAAAAAAAAGAACAGGAGGGCTGCAACGGCCCCAAAGGCAATGCAGCCCAGAATAAGAGCCATGTCAGTTTCAAAAAAAAAAAAAAAAAAAGAAAAAGATTATCATGATGGTTGTACAGGTCTGTAAACATACAAAAAACCAAAAACACTGAATTATGCACTTTAAATGAACAAACTTTATGGTATATAAATTGTATCATACAGCTGTTAAAAATAAACTTTTTTATGTTTAAAAATTATATTTATGGATATTAATTACATATACACACATACATGAATATTTGCAGAAGGCCTGAGACAGGATGAAGTCCTGAAGCAGACCACTAGAGGCAGTTTCCTGATGACTTCACCTCAATAATCAGTACTTTTGTGGTACAACTGCTAAATTAGTTATAAATCAATCAAATTCTACTTGACAAGCAGTCCACATTTCTCCATTTTGTAAAAACAAAAATAATGAACTTTGCCACTGTTACGTCTGTCTACAACATGACCCAATCTACTGATAATTATTTCATAAACGAAATTCGGACTGATACATCTTGCTTTTATGAAGAAAGCTGGTCTCTAATGATAAGCATTTTTTCCCCTAAGCCTTCCCAGAATATTAATAGCTTACTAATGAATTCTTCTAGGTTTAACACTTAGCTCACCAGTCTAAAGTTGCAGAATCAACTCTCCACCCTTTCTAAAAGGGAAGATATTTTCCACTTCCAGTCTAGAACCTATCATTTCTCCATCATCAAGGATTAACAACAGTGGTTGTGCAATGTCACATGTCAGTTCTCTCCGTATCTAGTTTGCACTTAATTTATAGCATCTAGGCAATCCTTTAATATCTCACTTATTTTGGGTTTCAACTCCAAGTTAGCCATCATTTTTTTTTTTGGGCCGGGCGGTGTGGCATAAGGGATCTTAGTCCCCCGACCGAACCTGCGCCCCCTGCAGTGGAAGCGTGGAGTCTTAGCCACTGGACCACCAGGGAAGTCCCTAGCCATCATTTTATTTATTTATTTATTTAATTTAAAAATTTTTTAAAAATTTTATTTATTTATTTTTGGCTGCTTTGGGTCTTCGTTGCTGCGTGCGGGCTCTCTAGTTGCAGTGAGCAGCAGGGGCTACTCTTCGTTGTGGTGCATGTGCTTCTCATTGTGGTGGCTTCTCTTGTTGCAGAGCACGGGCTCTAGGCGCACGGGCTTCAGTAGTTGTGGCACAAGGGCTTCAGTAGTTTTGGATCGCGGGCTCTAGAGTGCAAACTCAGTAGTTGTGGTGCACAGGCTTAGCTGTTCCACGGCACATGGGATCTTCCCGGACCAGGGCTTGAACCTGTGTCCCCTGCATTGGTAGGCAGATTCTTAACCACTGCGCAACCAGGGAAGCCCCCTAGCCATCATTTTATTATTATATTATTTTACCACTTCCAAGATCATTCTCCTTGATAGAGAAGAAAAACCAAAATAAGCATAGTTTTGCTTCTCTCTGTCAAGATACTACATTTGCCTTCCATCCCCCTAAAATAGAAATTGGTAAACAGCAGGCAGTGCAAAAATATCTGTTAAACTAATAAATGCAGGTGATTTATTCCTTCTTTTTA